ATATATAAATTTATGTGTAACATAATTTTTTTTACGTTTTCTATTATTTTAATAAAAATTGGGAAAAAATTGAGAAGTGTTTTGGTTATGAGTACTTTATTTTTGTATCTTTCTTTATTGTTTCTTTCATCACAATTTATTTTTTATTTTTTCAATATCCATTTTTCCATAATTTTTTTAACTTCATTTAAATGTGTTCATTTAATTTTATTTTAAATATATTTTTTAGTATTTTTAATTCTTTTAATACTTTTTAGCCTGATTATGCCCAACTTTGGCCGAGTTACTCATACTCAGCTCGGCCTCGCTCGGCCTCGGCCTCGGCCTCGGCCTCGGCCTAGGCCCAGGCCCAGGCCCAGGTTATAAAGCTGAGTCATCTTTCCTATACTATACTGCTTAATTATTATTTTGTGCCAATAGTAAATTGAATTGTATTGCGTTTGTGACACATAGGTGAATTTCCCATTTAGTAACTTAAACAGTTTAATTTATATGCTAGGTTTTTGGGCCACAGTCTGCTTGCTTGGCTCACAATATCATATGTTGGAGAGTGGCTATAGCAAACATTTCACTTGGAACTCTTTCCCAACTTCTATCCAACAATGGTACACATCTAACATATATGTTAACCCTTAGAATAAACAATGTAGATAATGTGTTGCATTATCTTTAAGTCTAAAAGTCCCTTTTTTCTTCTTTATATGCACATCAAATTGAGATTTTTTGGGGCATTAAATATTCTAGTAGGTTTTTTTGGAATTCATGTTTACTTTTTCCATGAAGCCTAGGCTTCATATAATCTTTTTTAAGATTAATAATCATTTTTCAAGATCAAATTAGATCCCACTTCAAAAATTTCACTAGAAGAAATCATCTCCACATCAAGATGGGTGAGAAAAAAATGGATTTCAAGTTTTAGAAATAGTACATCTTGTAACAAGTTTCAATTTTTAAGTTTTATCGATCTGCTCAATCTACAAAAATTTCCAGTATTAAAACCACATTTCTCGACATTATTTGAATGTGTGTTTTACTTTGATTGTTTAGAGCCTCGGCTCTTTACAAACCGGAACCAATATATATGTCCAGAGATGATATAAGAGCAAACTGTCATTTTATTTTATTTTATTTTTTTTGACGCTTTACGCTTTATGTTGGCCACAATCAAATTAGATGCCACCTCAAAAACTTCACCTGAAGAGATCATCTTGGCTCTACACAATCAAATTAGATGCCACCTCAAAAATTTGACTAGAAGAGATCATCTCCACATCAGAATATGGATGAGAAAAAAATGGATTTCAAGTTTTGGAAATAGTACATCTTGTAACAAGTTTCAATTTTTAAGCTTTTATCGACCTGCCCAATCTACAAAAATTTTCAGTATTAAAACCACATTTCTCGACATTATTTGAATGTATGTTTTATTTTGATTGTTTAGAGCCTCGGCTCTATACAAACCGGAACCAATATATATGTCCAGAGATGATATGGGAGCAAACGGTCATATATATATATATTTTTTTTGATGCTTTACACTTTATGTCGGTCAATGTATGGTTTGCTTAGGTTTGCAACCTTAAACAATGTGCAACTTTGAATTTTATTATAGGCTGCAGTTGGCATACGGATGCATCCGTAGGTGTAGAGATAAGGTGCACCTTTAATTCGTAGGTGTAGAGATAAGGTGCACCTTCAAATTTTATCATGGTATATAATTTTGATATGAAATGTTTTGAAGATTATTTTAAAATCTATTTTTATATCTAATTATAAAATTTTAAATTTAAAAAATGGTTAAAATCAGGTAGATCTATAAACATATGAAAATCAATGGACAGTGTAGATAATATGTTGTAAAATGCATTATTTCTGAGACTTAAATTTTTTTTATTTTTCATAGTCGTTCATCTCGATGTTGAGATGATCAATCAAAAAAATTTTCAATATTAAAACTACCTTTTCTGATAGATTTTTTAGGGGTATCCGTAGTTCTACATTATAAGGTAGCATCCTAATATAAACTTTTTCCTTTATTATAATATGCAATTTTGATGTCAAAATTTATACAATGGCCCAAGAATCTATTTTTATCTAATTATAAAATTTCAAACTCCAAAAATAGTTTAAATCGAGCAGATATATACAAGATGAAAATCTCTTTTTTTTTTTTATATTCACACATCTCGATGTCGTGATGATCAATTTAATGGCTTTCGAAAACATAAAAATAACCTTTCGGATAGATTTTTGATGTGCACCTTAATTCAACAGCTTAAGGTGATAATCTTATATAAACATTTTCCTTTTTTCTTTGATATTCTTCTAATCCTTGCGCATAAACTGATTTCCCTTTGTCGTGCAACTCATGTATTGTTGAATTCTTTTAGGCGACAAAGGCGATCAGTCACTTTTTTTTTATTTATTATCCATCCATTGCGTTTGATTATGCCACCTAAAAGCTGTAATTAGCTTGCAAATCATTTTGCCATCGACAAAGTTGAGTTAATTACTCGAGAAGTGAGCTAATGTGCTAGATTATAATCATATCAATGTGCTTATTAACAAATGAACCTCTTTACTCCACTGAACATTCACATGTGCACGAAGAAACCCCCTAAGAAAATTTTAAAAAATAAAAAAATCCAAAAAAATAAAATTTTTGAAAAAATAGGCCGTCATGTAATGCGGGATTTTTCTCTCTTTCCGACCACTTTTTAATGACCTGAATCTTTTCTCTGATAACTCTTTATTCTCCATTTCTGCCCATTCTCTAGTAACTCCTAATTCTCCATTTCTGCCCATCTTCTCTTTACTGGCGTTGTCTATGATTGGGCTCCCAAATTCTAGCAAGTATTGGGCAAGCTTTCTCGCCCATCAATATTTTTCTAGCCATAGATTCAAGGGGAAAATGGGATTGTATACAATGAGATTATTTACTTTTGGTACAAGATGGTCATAATTTTTAACAACTATTTGATGTGAAAATTGATAAATTAGATGTGTCACAAAATTCGATATAATTTCTCTTAAAGTTTGAGCTTGGTTAATGGAATAATTGCAGCCACTCAATTTCACATCCAATAGTCATAGTTATTGTGACAACCTTGTATTAAAAGGTAAATGATCTCATTAGATACTTTCTCAAAAAAAAGGGATTATGTATATATCCGTTATATTTACTGCTATTACTTTTTAGTTTCCGTTATGATTTTTGAACTTGGTATTTTTGTAATAACAATAAATGTAATAGAACGAGTTAGAACGAAAGGGGTTCTAAGATTTTTGTGAGAAAAGAGGATTCAACTTAATTTTTACTCATTTTTATTGGATTCTAGTAAATATTCATAATAAATTAACAATCAGAGCAAGATTCATGGCCCTTGATGGTAAAACAACCAAAGAGCCGATGCTTCCTTAAACCTAACTTCTTTGATGGGAGAGGTTTTAGCGAGATCGATGTACGACTTAATCTAGCTGATTTGGTGTTCTCTAGGAGTGTTAGGACAAGACCAGTTGGTAAATGGATACACTGTACAAGGTTGTTTAAAGCTAAATTTTGATGGTAGCTCTCTCGATAATCCGGGTTGTGCTGGTAATGAAGGTCCAGTACAAGATTGAACTGGATCAATTATTCTTGCTTATGCCGGACCTTTTGGAATTGTCACAGCTACGTGGCTAAGATCAAAGCCTTGCTCAAAAGATTACTTTTTATTAAAGTCATCAGTTTGGGTCATTGTATATTGGTCGAAGGTAATTTCCAAAATGTAATTAGGTGGTGTAACAAGGAACAAATAGTCTATTGGCTAATGCGGTCGATCTGGGTACAAGTGGTTAATTTGGAAGGGGATTTGTCTTTATCATTTTATCATGTTTTTAGATAATCGAACGGTGTTGTTGATAGACTGGTTAAAGGAATTGTTTCTATGGATTTTGTTTCTATTTTGAATGATGTAATGAGTGAGTAATGTAATCGCGTTCTAGTTTGACGATAAAATGTGATAACACTAGCCCAAAAAAAAAAAACTTCCTCGATACAGCAAGCTAAGCTGAGACAAGCAGGAAAGGGAAAGCATGCAACTAACAGCTGGAGGCAATTGCTCTACATGCTTAGAAAAACGAGTTTTTGTACGTCTCCTTTTTACTTTTTTTGGATTTTAATTGCGCCACACGTTTAGAAAAGAGTTTTTCCGTTTCTTCTTTTCGATTTTTTGGATTTTAATTGCGCCACACGTTTAGAAAAGAGTTTTTCTGTTTCTTCTTTTCACTTTTTTGGAATTTAATTGCTCCACATGTTTAGAAACGAGTTTTTCTGTTTCTTCTTTTCAGCTTGTTATTTATTTATTTATTATGGTTTTTATAGACAACAACAGGAGGCAGTAGCAAGTGAGGGTTTCTTCTTCTCTTTTTTTATTTTTTTTTATTTTACCCGACGAAGTCCTGCACCGCCCATTAGCTTGGCTCAAGCCAGAGCAGGGCCGAGTACTTAGCTCGAGTCGATTTCCAACACCATTTTTAATAAGGGTCGTAACGGACCTGATCGAGCCCGAGCTGGGCCAGCCTTGGCCCTAACCCTTGCCCAGCTCTTGTCCCCATAAGTCCAAGCCAAAAAGAAATAAAAAAAAAACAAGAAATAAAAAAACAATCAGGCCGGGTAGGCAATCACTGGCCCTAGCCCAACCCTCGAGCCGCAGTTTATGGCCTACCCCCTACCTTTTTTGGACAAGGCCCTCAA